ACTTCCTGTTTGTGTTTTACCCCTCCTCACTCCTTAGCACCAAGCTAAGTACATGAAGTACGGCTAACACAAACGCACAGTAGGCCCCAGGCAGAACTGCAAACACTTCCCGTGGTTCCTTCTTCTGTTGACCTTGATGTTTGATGTGTCCCTGCCAGTTTAGTCTAAAACAGCAGCTTACCCATAAGGAACAACAGTCTACTTATGTCTCCTAGCTAAACTTAAATAGGTAAAACACTCCTTTCTTCCTCTTCATTTCTGGTTTCATCCTATCTCTTATTTTTGTTTTTACTCTATTTTGTTACTCTCGAAGTATAACATCTGAAAAGAACCAACATGCAATTTTTTTTTGTTTTTGTTTTGAGTAATAGGTTATGACATGTAAGAAACCAGTCATCAGTCGACGCTGCTTAATGCACATCTACTAAGATAATCAAAACCTTTTGTGTGTGTGCTCACCAAAACCTAAATTTTTGCTGCATCTACAAGCAGAGTGATTCCTAGCGGTCAAAACTGTTCACTAGCTGAAAAGTCTGCTTTTATGCATAAGAGGGACGTAACTATATAGGCTTAGACAAGCTTTGACGTACAGCTAATCTAATTTCTTACTCTGTAAACAAATAGAATAAGTTGTTTAAAGTAAAGAGAAGAGTTCCATGAGTAAAAGTAACAAATGCCAAAACACATTTGCATTTTACTGAATGTAACACCAAGTTCTTGAAAGACTTAAAGTATAGGAGTCCCCTTTTAACCCGTTCAAACATGCATAACTCAGTAAAATGTGCAGACACTCTGCAGATACTGTTGAATTGTTCTGACATGCTCTGGTTCCCATGACAACAACTGGTCACAGGAAGTGCTAACTTGTGATGTCACGTTGTAAACAAACCAGCCTACATGGCTAGGCTAACCTACCCTAGCATTCACCCAGCTTAGGCTAAGCTAAATAATAACTTTTACAGTTAGCAGTTAGCATCATTCACTGGAAGCCTTAATTGCAGCTTTTGTTTACACAATTCAAAGTATTCTAGAATACTTTCTTTTACCCCAGTTAGGGTTTGTAATTCCTCACTTTCCTTACTTTCAATTCTTCTCAGCTAAACTTTCACCTTCACTTATTAACCATAGTCCTGGCTGAGCGCTGTAAGCTAAATTTGCAGATGTCCTGTCAATTAAACTTAAGTTTAACTACATGTTAACTGTGCAGCTAGAGAAGAATTCGTATAGTAATGAGAATTTCCATCAGCATGTTGACTAAACATTTGGAGGGACACACAGAGTGTGGCCTTGAACAAGCAACCGCTGTAACCCACTGTGGAGTGTTGGTGCAAACAAATCCAAAGTTTAGTCACTAGTAGGGGTGGAACGACATGTATTCGTATCGAACCGAAACGGTACGGGCGTCACGGTTCGGTGCACGAATTTACACGGAGAATACACGGTATAAAAATAAATAAAACTCGCGTGCAAATTAATTAATGTAATGCGGAACTACTGTTAGATACGCGGGTTCTTTAGGGACACATAATCTGTACCATCGGCTTAGCTCTGAACGCGCGTTCACTTCAAACGTTGGCTTTATACGCGCGTCCTATTCGCTTTGGACTAGCGTCGAACTAGACGCGAATTTGACGCTCTATTCGTGTTTGGTGTGACCGCATAATGAAGGCTGCGATGTCAAGATTGCAATGCTGGACTGTGTCTGTGTGTGTGTGTGTGTGCGCGCGCACGCGCGCGAGAGAGAGGCGAGATCGAACTGTGTGTGTGTGTGTGTGTGTGAGACAGAGAGAGAGAGAGAGAGAGAGAGAGAGAGAGAGAGAGAGAGAGAGAGGGCGCGCGACCGAGCAGTGGAAACATAAAAAAAACATACTCCGTAATTTTGTTCATACAGATCATTAAACCTGCAAAGTGTTTACTTATATTTGTGTACACTCGTAATAAAACACAACATTGTGCACACTGTAAACTCTTGTCAAACTGTAACCTACTACAACTGTCACTCAACCAAAATCACACACACACACACACTGTTTTAAAAGAAAAACATATTTATCCGACTCCATTTCAAAACAGTCTGTGGGTCCCATCTTTTGGACATTCATCATATTGCATTGGTTTTCATTTCTCGTCCTCGGAGCACTAATCTTACACATTCTACATTGATTAAAAAAGAAAATCGAATATGTTTTTAATGGTAGTATTATTTTAACAGAAATAAATTATTTATAATTCAGATGAGAATAATGTTGCATTGTTAATTAATAATGTTAATTAAAATTAAGGAAAACAAATATATTGATCTGAAATATAGCAAATTAATTTTAAATTAATTCAGGTACAATCACCAAACATATCGCAAGGTCTTTTTGTCTTTTTATTAATTTAATTATTAAACTAATTATATAAAACTATTGTCAGTGCACTACAAATAAACTGGTTCTATGCCTTTATATAATAAAACTTATTTAAAAAATACAATGCCTTCTGCATTTTTGTTTTGCTTTTCCCTCCATTGTACCGAAATCTTACCGAACCGTGATGTCTGAACCGAGGTATGAACCGAACCGTGACTTCTGTGTACCGTTCCACCCCTAGTCACTAGCGCTACTGATTATTCTCACATTCAAATCATTACCGCTGTTTTGATGACTTACTTTGTTTATTTACTTACTTATTTATTTATTGTTATTTTATTTTATTATTCTTTTTCCCACTTTGATAATAATAGCAGTCAGCTATTCCCCTGTCTATTTGGTCATCTATATGAGTTAATTTAATTTCCTCCCTTGTTCGAATGTGGTTCCATTTCCCATTGGGCCCAGAAAGGAAACAGAGACACCTTTATTTGTGATTGTGTTTACTTTCAACAAGTCCACTCATTTTTGTGACCCTGCAACAAAAGTAATTTCAACAATTTACTAGGGCACAGCTATAGTCCAAAGGATTGATAATAAGCATAATTCGAATAGGAAAGCTGTCCTTTTTCTCCCCATAATTCACTTCGTCAAGCCGTAGTGAACCACTACTTAAATCCAGAGGAATAATTTAGTCGTATGAACCATCTTAAGTAATTTATTTCACCTCGGCTATGCCCTCTCCAGGAAATACTCTCGGAACCACACAAGTCTTAGCCTCCTAACATCCACAGCTAAGATGATAAAGATACAAGAAACACATCACTAGCTAGATACAAATCACTAGCTAGATACACATGTAACACCTAACTTTATGCTACATATCTAGCGAACCCATTAAACTGTGGTTCTGAACTTTTAGGGTCATGCATTAGTCTCTCACCACAAGTATGACCAAATGTCACAGAGCCCTGCTTCACCTGACCTTAACCTTCTAGCTACCAAAGACTGTGACAAAACAATGGACACTATGAGAAACCACCGCCCATACCCCTCCAACCACCCACGAACGCCGTCTGCACCCAGCGACAACCGGTGCCCCTGACACCCTACGTCAACAAGCACATGCTGCGTGCACGGGACAACATTCAGCGTTCTGCACCTGATGCCATCACTGCGCCAAAGCTTGTGATGCCACAGTGCAAAAGGGGGGTCATGCCAATGTACGCCCTGGACGCACCACGTGCTGCACAGCTCAGCACCAGAGACACTTGCAAGACACCGAAGCAAGTGGCATACCGGCATCCTCAAAGCGAAAAGACTGTCCGAGCCAACCGAGGACGACACTCGCTGAAATTTTTCCTCCCTTTCTCTTTCTCTCTCCCTTTCACTTTTACCAGGATGCTGCTGTGGTTCGCGATGCCTGTGCCTCCAGCCAACCAGAGGACAGCCGCAATCGGACATCTCACCAGGTCCGACAGCAGGCATCGTCCGGAGAGGACAACAACTCCTGATCACCAACTGCAGGACCCACACCCAGAAAGTGTGTGTTCGACGCAACCCCCGCAACGTCTACAGAGCACCTCACCCCAGCACAGTAGTCCAGAGAACAGAGGACTCCCTCGCTCACGCCAAGGCCAAGGCCGAGCACATGCTCAACCAACTTGATAAAATGACTGTCACACAAGCCGAGTTAGGTGGACACAACCGCCGCTCCAAACGGTTCCTGGGAGCTTTGCTCGGAGCCGCCGCTGCTGTCAGAACTCTGTTAAGCATTGGTATGCCCAGTGCCAACGCAGTGAACCATGTGACTGAAATTCGGACTGAGGTCCCACAGCTAAGACTGCAACTCACAACACAGAGTGCATCCCTACAGACCATCGGAAAGACATTGATGGGAACTGTGGTAATTCTCAACATTCACAGCGTTCTGCTGAACCAGACAGTAAAATCCATGAAACAGCTGTTTACTGTCTTCCAGAAAGACTTTGCTCAAACTCCGCTGGTCACAGCCCCGGACGGGGTGGCCTACCACCTGACCAGCGACACACCGCTGCATCTGGCCCCACATGTGCAGCCCACAACCAAAGACATTCACTATCTCTGCCCTAGCAAACCCTTCCTCAAAGACAACACTGACGGAATCTGCGGTTTGCAAACCATGATCAGCGACACACGCTGCCTTGCAGAAGCCAAGCCTCGCACGCAAGTCACCGGGATACAAGCAGAGACTGTAGGTGACGGATGGCTTGTCAACACTCCCGTGCGAACAGCTACTCTCACTCACAACCAACATGACACTGCCACCCGTGTCACCTTGCTTAACCAGAGCATGTGGTTTCAAGTACCGAAAGGTGCCATCCTCCACCTGGATGACCTGACATTGTTCCATCTTCCAAGCAGAGAGTACAGGTTAGCACTGGAAGCCCCATCCTCCTTCAGGAACCACACTGTCACCCTAACTCCAGAACGGGAATTGTGGTTGCAAAAAGGTGGTCCCAGCTAATTGACATTGCTCCTATCGATTCAGCCCTCCAAGCTTCGTCTCGACCGCCAGTCTTGACCACCTCACCCGTTGTCCAAGCCTGGACCGCGGCCGACATTGCGCTGTGCATCTCTACAGGTAATCAGCCATCCCCTGACACTATGTATAGCCTTCATTCTGTACAGAAGACTCAACCAGATGCGACACAGCCGAGCTCACGAAAGCCATGTCTGAAGGTCTCAGACGGAGTCCCCAGAAAGGGGGTGCCAGGTCAGAGACCACGCCGAACCTCATCGGGCTGAGCCCTCAGTCCTAACAACCACCTGTCATCCGACCTTCATGACTTACCTGCTATCCTACCATCAGGTTCCACCTGCCATCCTACTTTCATGACTTACCTACCATCTGACCAATGTGACGGTTTAACGAGGCCGCCCACACGGGTCCTGCCAAACCGCCAAAAGGGGGAATGTAGTGATAATCAGATCGGTAGTTGAGCCAGCTCTAGTATGTTGGAGTGAAGTAACTAGATTCTAATGTAGTTAAGTTCCCCTTAACTTCCATTCTGAAACAAAGGGGATAGTGTTTTGAATTGATGAAATCATTGACTCTGACTCGCACATGCAGCATCTTTCTCTAATGAATGAACAACAGAATGCTTTGCTTACGAGTTGAGCCAGCTCTGGACATGTGACTCGAGATGAGATCACGAGTCCGGCCGAAGACCACGCGACCCCTTAGGGTCTGTCATGATTTGATCACCTCACAAACAGAGCACTGCCTGAACGCTGAAGGACAATCACACATTAATGCACACACACACACAAATGTCCTATAATGTGTATATAAATGTATATAACACAGAAATTGTATCCAACCTTCCTGTACGCATGCATATCTTATTAGCTTTGCTTTATAATAGAAGTGTGGTTTGCTAGTGTATAGCTCTGAAGTCTAAGAGTTCATCAAAAGAATGTTCTAACACATTAACACACAAACACCAGCCATGGAACTTTTCAGAGAAAAGTACCTCTACATGTTTTAAATGTATTCATTTTTGTGCTTAGATGTCGTCACATGCCATACTGGAAGTACTGACAATTTTATTGTGTGTTGAGCAAACTTTAAAGATGCTTGTAATTCTGCATATGAATGTAACTCTATATTCCGATAATCTTCATGTGACGTGTCTGATATGTCTGTAATTCGCTCAATCTAACGGAGCCGAATTCCGATAGCAGAATGAAGTAAGGTGCATTATTTTACACATTTCATATTTCAGGAGCCGAACGCTCAAATACAATCTCCTCACGAGTCAGTCAAGTGGGAATCCCCCACAGGACAAAGAGAACTGTGTCCGCTCCAGATCCGCGGACGGTCATGTGTGATTCGCGCAAACAGAGGCGTGAACCTAAGTGTCCTTAAAGAGACGCGCCGAGCTTCCCTTGTTCCCTTCTGAAACGCTTCTGAAACTCTTCCTGAAACTCTCTTCCTGCTCTTCGTGGCTTCATCATGTGACTCCTCGTGCGTCTGGACATCGCCTTAGTGTGATGATCCATCGTTTCTCTTTTTGTTTTCTTCAAGTTTATTTTATCTTTTTCGAAGGCTCCTCTGTTCATGTCTTCTCGCGAAGAAAATGAACACAGCCAGACTGGCAAGCTTCACCTACAAGGACATTCAAACACGCCGCGCTCGCTGGACGAACCCGAACGCTCGGCATCCACATGACAGAGATACACACACACGCCTTTTTCAGATCAGCCCCACCAAAGAGCTTTACCTGTGCAAGTATCCGTTTTACTATGCTTATTTAAGATCTGTTGATTCTTGGTGTCTAAAAAGGTTCTGTGTCTGTGATGAATTTTGCCAAACCAGAAGATCTCTCATCTTCTTTCTCTCTCTCTCCCTCCCAATCTTTCTCCCTCGCAACCTCTCTCTCTCTCACTCCTGTTTGTTACTCGTCTGTCTCGTTAGTTTTACTGTTTAACTGTACATACATGTATCCTGTGTTCAAATGTAAAATTCTGTATCCGTAGTTTCAATTATTAAAACCATATTCTTGATTGATCCTGAAGTGCTCATTTACAAGTCAATGAAATGAATATCTCATAGCTACAAAGCTTTACAAGTTGTTACTATATCAGTAACGTAAATTTTATAAACACGAGAAAATTAATGTTCACGGCCGGAACATTGAGATTTCTTGGAGTTTATAAAAAGGGACAACCTTGTTGAGAAGTTGGTAAGTTAATCTTACGGCTGTTTGCTGGACAAACCGATTGTTTGATAAACTAAATTAATTCCCTTAAAGTTGTCTCATATAATCGATCTGTAATGAGACCATTGATATATGAATGAGGAATTATAATTCGTTATGATTTACCATTCATACATACAATCGATCTATTTTCAATTTCGATAATTTAACTGTAATATGAAATATATTAATCATATTCATGATTAATTATTAAAATTCCCTATGCATAATTTGAGCTAATTAAGGCACATCTCAATGTTGCCACATCACCATGCCGATTAATATGAGTTACAGTATGTCCCTCAGGCTTCACTAACGTGATTGGTGCCATACACTGCACACACGTTCCCATCAAGGCCTCAATGAAGGGGATTTTGTGAACTGAAAGGGGGATCACAATGTAAATGTGCAGACAAGTTACTATTGCGATTCTTAATATTCCAGATTATTAATATTATATCAAATTAAAAAAAAGGCAGTTGACAGACTAAAATCTCTTAGATGGTGTGTGACTGTTCCATATTACAAATGTGGAAGCAAAATGGCCAGGATCTGTGCATGACTCAAGAATTTTCAGAGATTCACATTTATGCTAACTCATATTGCAGTCAGAAATAATAGGTATTCAAGTGTAAATTAAGTAGTTATTTATACACTTACAGATACATTCTCCAAAAGACAGTTATCTGAGAGGGTTTCTTCACTGTCCTGTGCATTGGGGGAAAAAATGGGCATTACAAAGTGTTGTACTTTCTTCCCTTTTGATGTAAAGTTAGAAAAAGTCTTACTGCACATGATTCAGCCACTTGCTTGGGAACAGATAAAAGTGTTGGTGTATTGTTTAAAACTGCACAAAAGAGGAAAACACAATTTCATTACAATGAAGTACAATGATGGGAAATGTGATCAATAACTCATGGCAACATATTTTTTTACATTAACTACATAGTTTCACACATGTAGACTTTCAAAGCAATTCATTACTACTCAAGGTTTAACAGTTGATATGACTGGACCAGCCATTGGGATTATACTTAATTTAATGCAGCAACAAATTATTCTACAGTGTACTAAGATAATTTAAATTTCATTTACCAGTAATGAAGGAGTTGCTGCTACTGGTCCCTGCCAACATGACATCATGACTTTTGCGTAAACATACACGCCACTTTCAAGTCAAGTGGCGTGCAGGGCCATGCACAGACATTTTGAAGGGCAGTGGCTTAAACCAAAAAAGGGGGCACTATAAGGAGTTTGACTGACAACATACACGATGGTGACCCCCCCCCCCCCCCCCCCCCCCCCCATTTGAAAAGCAAATCTAATGTGTGCCTTTAGCCCCATTGTAACCTACAGTAGCTAATATACTAAGGTACTATTCATTTAGATCAGTGTTAATTTTGACAGCTAATTTTGAAATTTTGACTAAAATGCCATTTAGTTTTAATCATATTTTAGTCATCTGAATTGTTTTAGTTGACGAAATACAATAAGGTTTTAGTCGACTAAATCTACAGTAGATTTAGTCGACTAAAATTTAATGGGTTTAGTGTTAAATTGTAATGCATTAATTTAGAATTTCTCTAAAACATCCAAACCCATTATATATTCCCGTAGAAAACATCTATTAACCTGATAATATTAATAATTTTTAAAGTTTGAACATGCAATACAGACACATATTTAGCACTGTGACATAAAATAATATCTTAAAATTAAAGTCTTACATACATCATTCTTTATTCTTTCAAGCAGACATATTTATTTGTATGAATTAAATATAATTAATCCTTATTAAAGCTATTAAAGAGCAGTGAATGCTTTTCTCTTTTTATTTTGTTGTTTGATTAATATTAAGTGCACAGACGGCATTAGGTTTATGTGCACTGTCACTTTAAGACCGAGTGTGCAGATCCAATTGCACAGATGCACATCCGATATTCTCACAACTGTACGTTCTGTAAAGACATAACTGACTGCGTTTAAGTGAATACTCTTCAAAACGGACATTTAGACATAATGTTGTGTGTATTTGTCCATTCAGACGCGAAAGAGAGCTCAGTTCAGTCCTTGTGTGCTGCTCTGTCTATGTGCAGGGCTGCACGCGTCGGGTTGTGTGTGTTTGTGTTTGTGTGTGTGTGTGCACGCACAGAAAAAAATACAGAATAAAGGCCATTGCACACTGCGTTTTTTCGTATTCGTGATTCGTTGGCTCTGAATTGTCAAAACACCATTCAAACTGCTGGCTACGGTTCGATTAGATTTTTACCCGATTCGATTTTTTTTATGACGGACGAAAGTTTCGGAGGCAGTGTGCAAGTGTGATTGACATAACGTGAGGTGAGGTCGTATTTATTTTTTAACGTGCGAAAATTCTGGAGCGATAACATAACGTTTTTATGGAAATCCTCTGGAGGGTTAGGGAGGGGGGCGAGAGGGGCACCTCAGCTGATGAGGGCAGAAGGGCAGTGGCTCTAGCCACCGGGCCACCCCCCTGTGGACGGCCCTGGTGGCGTGTAATACTCTTAGATTGACTACAAAATTACACTGGTGTTCAAGCACAAGCATTAAGCTGGTTCAGGTCATACTTATCTGACCGCTACCATTTCGTCTACTTAAATGGAGAAAAATCGATCATAACTTCGGCAAACTATGGAGTGCCACAGGGATCTGTGTTAGGCCCTCTATTATTCTCAATATATATGATGCCTCTTGGTAATATTCTAAGGAAACATGGAATTAGTTTCCATTGTTATGCCGATGACACTCAAATATATATTTCATCACGGCCAGATGAATATGCTAAATTATCCAAATTGACAGATTGTGTTAAAGATATAAAAGATTGGATGACGCGTAATTTTCTTTTATTAAATCCAGACAAGACAGAGGTAATACTTATCGGTTCTAAAATCATCAGTTCATTGGTTACCTATAAAGTTCCGTATTAATTACAAGGTATTGCTTTTGACTTATAAAGCTCTAAATGGTTTAGCTCCAGTCTATTTAACGG